GTGAAGCTAGTGGCGTCGCTTGAAGACTCTTGCAGCACTCACGCCAAAAAGCAGAGCATCACAGCACCTTCCAGGTGCCCACAGAAGTTGCTTTTAACAAAGCCCAAGGTGGCTCTGGTTAAACTTCCGGTCATGCAGTTTTCCCCTGTGCCTGTCTTTGTGCCTACAGCTGACCCCTTGGCCCAGCCTGTGGTGTTAGGTATGGACAGTGGTTCTGCGGCCAGAGCTGTGCACTTAGTCCCCCTGCCGGTAAGAACCCTGATCCTCAGCCTGGATCCAGAGGACTGCTCTCTGAAGGAGAGCCTACCACTCTCGAAAATTATCAGTCCCATTGTCGAGCCGATCAGTACAGGTGTTCAGGTGAACTTGGGGAAAAGCCCTTGTAGTCCTTTACAAGAACTCGGGAGTGCATGTCAGAAGAGCAGCCTCTCCTCGATCAACGTGCAGACGGACCTGTCCTATGCCTCACCTGACTTGACACCTTCTGCTCAGTGGCTCAGCCCAGAGTCCTCTGTGTCATCGTGTTCTCAAACGGACCTGTCGTTTGATTCTCAAGTGTCCCTTCCCGTTAGTGTCCACACCCAGACGCTGGTGCCCAGCTCAAAGGTCACTACATCCATAGCTGCTCAGACAGATGCGCTTATTGATGCCTGTTTCCAGCCAGGTGGGATCTCCAGGGAAACCCAAACCAGCAGGATGCGAGACCCCACCCATGACCCTGTGCAGGTGGACCACGCTGGCCTGTGTGGGGACATCTTTGAAAGTGTCCACTCATCATACAGTGTCCCCACGGACAACATCATGAGTAGCAGTTTAGTTTCAGAGACGGTCACTCAGGGTCTGTTCACTCAGAATGACCCTAAGATACTAAGCCCAGTCATTGAAAAGTCTGCGCCTTTGTTGCACTTCAGTGCTCAGAACAGCATGCTTCCCTCACAGACCATGACTGACAATCAGACCCAAACCATAGATCTACTGAGTGACTTAGAAAACATCCTGTCAAGCAACCTGCCTGGCCAAGCACTGGATAACCGGAGTCTTCTATCTGACACGAACCCCGGGCCTGACACCCAGCTCCCAGCAGGCTCAGCCCAGAATTCTGGGATTGATTTCGATCTTGAAGAGTTCCTCTCGGCCTCAAATATCCAGACTCAGACAGAGGAGAGTGAGCTCACCAGCGTGAGCACTGAGCCTGCCCTGGAGTCCCTGGACATAGAAACTCAGACTGACTTCTTCCTCACAGACCCGTCCGCACAGCCCTACGGCTTCAGGGCAAGTTCAAGCTTTCTGGGCCTGGAGATGTTTGACACACAGACACAGACAGACTTAAACTTCTTCTTGGACAGTAGTCCTCATCTGCCCCTGGGCAGCATCCTGAAACACTCCAGCTTCTCTATGAGCACTGACTCATCTGACACAGAGACCCAGACCGAAGGCGCCTCCCCGGCTCGACACACACCCGTGCTGGAGAGCAAGGTCCAGCTGAACAGCACAGAAACACAGACCCTGAGTTCTGGCTTCGAGCCCCTGGGGAACATGTTCTTCACCAGCAACGAAACTCAGACAGCAATGGGTGACTTCCTTCTAGCCGATTTGGCCTGGAACACAATGGAGTCCCAGTTCAGCTCTGTGGAGACGCAGACGTGCTCGGAGCTGCACGCCCACGCCGTCTCCAGCTTCTGAAGGGGCAGCCAGGCTCCCCTCCCCTTGTGGTTTAGGACACGGCGAAAGGACAGCCGTACCAACTGGGAATGGAGTTGGTGGGGCAGCAGCTGTTGAGATTCTCCACAGTTCTTGGCGTTTGTACTCATGAACACAAGATTGGTGTACAAATGTGAGTGTATTATAAAGTGTAAGGTGTTGATCTGAAAAGTTTCAGTGTTGCCTACGTTTGCTCCTGTGTAGCTATTCTTTCCATCTTAAAAAAAAAAAAAAAAGCATTTCACACTGTAAGACTTACAACCATTTAGCTGAAGCCAAGCTTACCAGATAGTAGGGCACAAGCTTTGCAACCGCTTTAACCGAGTATAGCGCGCTTAAACAGTACCTCCAATGTCAGACAATGCTTGTGTGGCCCTGGCTCTGATGCTGCCGCCCTTTGCTTTGTCAAGTCCGTTCTGACTTGGAAACACTAAGGGAAGGCACAGCTGTCTTTAGCTTTTATGACAGTTTCTACATCATCACTGCTGTCCCTTCTCTCCCAAGCAGTGACTGCTGCCAGCTTTGTTTGCTGTCCGTTTCTCTCTCTGAAGTTACCCGCCAGCACGAGAGTAGCAAGCCCTCAGTATAACTAGCCGTCCTTCTAGTAAGAGTAAGGTCTCCAGACCGTGGAGTCAGCTCTGGAATCCTGCCGTTTCATTCATCTCAGGCTCATCCTGCATCGTGGGAAAGTTTTCCTCTCACTATTGTTGGTCAAGAAGATCCCTGTGACCAAATTTATGGGATTGATTGCCCATGTCAGCAGGCAGCCAGCTGTGAGCACACAGTGGCCAGAGGATAGTCACTCTGTCTGGGGCTCAGGACCCTAGAGCTTCTACCTATCTGTAAATTGGGGTTTCTGTGACTCCCCACTCTTTGAGCTCAGTTAATTTACTAGAGAGGCTTACAGAACTCAGGGATACAGTTACTGCAAAGGGTAGAGTGGGTACGAAAGGGGCAAAGGGTTTCTACACTTTGTCTAGGCACAACCAAGAATCCGCCTATTATCCTTGCAGAAACCCTTCAAACCCAGGCTTCTGGGGTTAGTGGCTGCTTTGTTGTATGGGTAGAGCTGCTTAAATCATTGCTATTAGTGATCAGTTTAACCTTGGGTACCACCCTCCCCACTGGATTGGAAGTTAGGGATGAAGTTGAAAAGATCCCAGTCTTCCAGTCATTAATCATGCTTTGGTCTCTCCTGTGACTTGTCCCCGTCCTAATACTACCTGGAGGCTACCAGCTACCAATGACCTCATAGCAAGCAAAAGCAACCTTTCTTCTAAATATTTTGGGGTTGGGGAGTGTTGTGTGCAGATACACATACTTTACATCATCACATCCACATACATCCTTCCCATTCGACAGTAGACCCTGGGGGCTAACCTACTGCTTCCTGTTATGTACTTACAGGCTCTCTAAAAATTAAAAAGGAAGAAGTAGAGTAAGGCATCCCTGTCGAGCCCCCTTTCAGTACTTGATAGGAGGAACATGGCCTACAAAGTCTTTCCTTCCACCTACCCTACCCTTTTTTTTGAAGGAAGCACTTTGGTCTGGCAAGTATATTATGCGTACCTTGAGACTAGCAATTGTAGAATAGAGCCATCAAAAGTATGCTAGTCTAGACTCTGTTGTGAGACATTCTTTAAAGTGGAAAGGTTGTAGACCATTTGCTTCAATAAGCAAGAGCATTTTGAGGGGTGAGCGTGGTCAAACATGCCTTGCGGGCTCTCTGTGCTAAGTATAAGTAGATCATGGATTCTTAGGCAAATCTGAGTACACACAGCCTGGGGAACTGTCCAGTCCTCCCTGGGAAGCCCTGTTCTTTCTGTAGCAAATGCTTGTGCTGCCAAAAGCTGAACTCTTAAAACCCAAGGGGATCGATGATTCCTTAAGTAACTGGGTGATGTTGCTGCTGTTGTGTCCCGCCCACCTGATAGAAGGCCTCGGAAATGGGCTAACACACCTGGCAGATGAGTGCACCCCACTAGCTAAACAGTGGTTCGGGTCACAGTTGCCTGTGAATGTGAGTTCAGAACAGACATAAAGCCTTAACTTAGATTTTTTGTTGTGTTTTGGAATCATCACTGCCTTAATGTTCAAGCATCTATTAAGCCCTCCAGCTGAAGGAGAAATGCATGTCTGCTCGTGACTTTTTGTAAATACAAGTGCAGCGAGCTATTGCCTTTAAGTTTCAGTTTTTGTTTCTGTGGCAATGTCTCTTAATAGTTACAGAAAAAAAAAATGGAGCATGTAATTGTCTTTCATGTGCAAGAACTGTCCCGACAAACCCTTCGTCACTTGAATTCTCCCACAGTTGTTTGTGAACACAGATTCGGTGATTAAAGAGAAATTAGAACTCTCCCTTTGGTGTGAATTTAATACATACTCATGATGTGACTTATCTTCTGAACTTGGAGGACACCCTAACACGTATACATACACGCATTGAGAAATAAAAATAAGTGGTGCACACCTTTAACCCCAGTACACAGGAGGCAGAGGCAGGCAGATCTCTGTGAGTTTGAGGCCACCCTAGTCTATATAGCAAGTTCCAGGAGAGCCAGGGCTGCATAGTGAAACCCTGTCTCAAAATATATGTGTGTGTGCATGTGTGTGTTCTTAAAAGATACTCAGCACTAGTTTGCATTTGGAAATGATATAGCTTGGGAATTTTTTTAGGAAAACATTATTGTTAGTAGTTCAGTCCATGCACTCAACATGGACTCAGGCTTCCTTTTCTTCCTGAACAGCTTAAGAAGAAAACGAGAGGCAGCAAGTTAATAGCTCTTTGCTCTGTCACTAATTTAAAGGAAAAACAAACTGATATTTCGACTCCCTTTCAATAAAGGAAAAGTTCGAGTTTTTGTAACTCATTTGAAAGATGCTGAGTCAAGTTCAAAGTTACTTTTTTTTTTTTTTTTTTTTTTTTTGGTTTTTCAAGACAGGGTTTCTCTGTGGTTTTGGAGACTGTCCTGGAACTAGCTCTGTAGATCATGCTGGTCTTGAACTCACAGAGATCCGCCTGCCTCTGCCTCCCGAGTGTTGGGATTAAAGGTGTGCGCCACCATCGCCCAGCTCAAAGTTACTTTTTTCATTTGGAGAAAATGACCAGTACTGGTTTTAACTGCAAAATCCCTCTTGAAACTGATGGGGTTACATTTTCACTTAGTTTTTTTTATGAATACACATACATTATACATAAGGACTAAAGTGGACAGAGTAGATAAACCAGCCCACAAGTATGTAATCCCAGAAAGGTAAAGAGGGACTGCCCAGAGCAAGCTGGCTAACTAGACCAGCCTTATCAGCAAGCTTGGAGCTCAACTGAGAGGTCCTGCCTCCATAAATAAGGTGGAGAGAAATCAGGGAGACTATCGGCCTCCACCTGAACATGTTTACCCACATACACATGGGTCTGCACATGTGAACATACATGCAGACCACACAGACATGTGAAAATAAACCTGCTAAGTTCTCAAATACTTACCAGGTGCTTTTGTTTAGCTCGTGTATTTTGAGTGGGGGTTTTGCCATGTAGCCCTGGCCTGGTACAATTTATCCTAAGCTGGTCTCCAATTTAGGTAATCCTGCTTCAGCTTCCTGAGGCCTCATCTAGTTATACCAGGGCCTCTCAGGCTTGCTTGCTCAAGACCTTTAAAGAGATGGGGAGGAAGGGATGTGTAGCTTTGGGGCCAAGTGCTACGAAGCTGGTTCTCCTCTCGTCTCACAGTGGCTCTGTGTTGTCATCTGAAGGGTGTTCGAGTGACATTGATTTGACACCGGGAAAGGACAACACAGACCCCTGCGTACTCAATACCAGATGTGACTCCTGTTGTTAAAGGACATGGATTTTCATCTAGGTTCATCAGCCAGATGCCGCCCAGCACAACCTTCTCAGGACCAGAGAGTGACTCGGTTGTCTGGTGATCAAGGGTCCTTTCTGTTGCTGGGCTGTATTTATCAGTAGACACAACACACAGGTGCCTTAGCTCACACATCAGGAGACATGGGCTATGGGACAGGTGGAGAGGGCACTCAGGCGCTTGGTTCTCAAGCAGCTAATACCACGGACTACACTGAAAAGGGAGTTTCCGGAAGGAGCCAGGCCCAAACTGGGTGAATGAACAGAGGACACTGCTTGAACCACATCAGCCAGGCTCCTTGTTCTTTCAAAAGACTTAGGGGAAAAATACATTTTATATTCTCTTACTAAGTAACAAAATCAGTTGTAAACTGGTTCAAAATCTACAGATTTCACAGGTTAGCCTGTGAGAAGCACAGCGACTCTAACAGACCTCTACTAAGCTTCCATTCTTTGAAGCAAGTTAATGTTACAGGACAGAGGCTACCAAAAGACAATGGCAACAACAAAAAATTTTGATAAAACAATAGTCATAGTTCATAGAGTAAAACAAAAGTGAAGTGGAAAAACTATGGTGACTTGTCTCCCTCAAAGTCCTTCGCTCGACACGGCCAAAGACCTGTTGGGTCTAGAGTAGTGGGCTTTTAAGCCTAGCATGTGCAAATGAAACCTTGTTCTAAGCCTGGCACCTTCTTGCTGCAGCCCCTATTTGCCCCTGCTCTGCTATCTGGTGGTTTGCTGCTTTCCCACGCCCCGGGTGCCATGTGGAGGTGTGGCTGCATCTCACATATGCTGATTGGAACCAAACTTAAAACCGATTGCTCGCTCTTCTTTCCCGTGCTGAGCAACTCCAGAAAATGTAGAGCCCATGCTTCGAGGAAAACCTGGCAGAAGTCAACGCATCCGAATTGAGCTGCCACGGACAGGTATGTAGCCATTCAGATTCTCCTCGGTGGGGCTGGAGACATGGCCCGGTGTTTTAGAGCACTTGCAGAAGACTTGGGTTCAGTTTCAGCACCTAAAAGGCAGCTCACAACCATCTATGAATCCAACTCCAGGGGGCTCTGGTGACCTCTTCTGACCTCCATGCATGTGGTTACACATCCATACATGCAGTCAAAACACAAACAAATAAAGACAATAAAATTTAATTCTCAGTAACTTTTCTCTAACATTGAAATTTCTGTACAGCATGTTCGAGAACTCATGCCAGTCTTGGCAAACTGCCTTAGGAATTGTTTATACTGTTTTATTTCAGTTCGCAGAAATTATTTTTGTCCCACTATATTTGAGAGTCGGTACTGCTAGTAAGTTACACTGTTTCCAATCCCTCTTTTTTCCCCTTTTGCACCTTTTTATAGCACGGTATATTTTTGTGTTTTGTAGACTCCCAGATTCCCATCTACAGGAAGAAGCTTCTCTGGTGATGGCTGAGGAGGCAAGGCCCTCATCTGCGGGGGTGGCAGTGTTCCTAGGCGTCATTTGACTGCTATGTCCCTTCAGCAGAATAGCAGGGTATGTTTTTCCCTAGGCCCATGACCTCACTAGTCTTGGGTTCTCAGCCACTTTAACAGTGTCCTCTCTCTAGACCAGTTTAGCTTGTCTCTGTGGACGACGTCACCCCAGACCTTATCCCAGGTTGTTTTGGGGATTAGCTCCGGTCATCTACCAGTCCCGTGTTAAGTAGAGGGAAAAGCAAAAAGTGAACAGGATGCACTTTCCCATTGGATTCCCAGCCACTAACATCGAGGGGAAAACCCATGTGTCACGTGTTGAACATATGATAGAGCTGGGTTTAAAGGCATGCACCACCTGGTTTCTATGGTAACTAGTGTGGCTACTGGGACTAAAGGTGTGTGTTACCTACCATAGCCTGGTCTGTAAGGCTGACCAGTGGGACTCTTTTACTCTCAGATCTTTGGGCAGTCTTTGTTAAAATACAATTGAAATGCCACTACATTTCCCCTTTTTGTCTAAAATAAAAAAGAAGGCTATAACTAATATAAGGAAACACAATAAGTACAATACCTATATACAATGTATACAGGTAATAAATATATCAACAATTTGACAAATTCAGAGAAAATATTTCATATCCTATCTTGGTGAGTCCAAAGTTTTATACCTAATTTACTTTCTATCATAACTTGCTTTCTGTTTCTGGTAAACTATAACTATAGTTATATAGCTATCTCATCGTCAACTCCCTCAGAGACCCAAGAAGGAAATAATATTAACTGAGTGAGCAGGAAGTGCGAGCAAGTGACTTCCAAAAATTATAACGGCTGAAGCAGCTGGCTGCCTGGATGGTCACCCCAAGTTCCTCTGCAATGCTGGGGCACCCATCTTCTGCCTACAGGCTTAGCATATTTGTCAGACTTTTCTGTGAAGCAGGAGATTGTGTGTCCTGATTGTCTAATTAGGACAACATACTGTCAGCAGTTGAGGCAGGAGCATTTTGTTGCCCAGTGGCTTACCGTTGCCACAAAGAAAGTAAATTCCAAGTGGAGTTTCTTCAATGCCAGTTATCTTCTCTGAAGCAGATTGGTGCTGCTAGGAGCAGACATGAATCATTGTCATAAAAAAGAACCTAGGTTATTAAAACATCTTAATGCCATATTCTGTAGATCTCTGAAGTGTATGAAGATGACCCATCTATCTAAATTATATCTTTGACCTTGAAAACACACCTAATGTGACTAACAAGTTCGATTATACTAGGTGATTAACTACTAACTAATGTTTATTATCCTAAACAGTTGATAATAATTTTCAAGGACTAGAATTTTGTATTACATTGTTAAATGCCACTACAGGAGGTAATGGGTGACTCCTAAGAAACAGTGTCTTCTAGACACAATAGGCAGCCATCTTCAGTTCCATATATGAAGTATGCTAATGACATAGGAAGGGAAAATGATCAAAATATATTGTATAAAGATAATTTTTTAAATGATTGTAGGAGACTATATCAGGCACTTGAACAACCACTTGGGCAGGGACGTGCCTAACGCAAAAGTTCATGAGTCCATAGAGGCATCTTCTGGGTATTTTGTTATAGATTATCTGGTCAAAAGAAACACAAGAGCCGCACACCAAGGACAGCCTGGATTACACTTTGAGATCTCACTTCAAAGTAACAAGGGAGGAAGGGCTGGCAAGATGGTTCAGTGGGGAAAGAAGCTTGCTACCAAACCTGATGGCCTGAGTTCAGTTTCCAGGACCCACTAGGTGGAGAGAGAACTGACTCCATTAAGCAGTCCTCTGACCTCTAAATACACGTCAAGGCACAGGCACATGTATACACACATGTGCACACACAAATATAAAAAACCTGTGCAGGGGTTGGAGAGATGGCTCAGAGGTTAAGAGCACTGACTGTTCTTTCAAAGGTCCTGAGTTCAATTCCCAGCAACCACATGGTGGCTTACAACCATCTGTAATGGGGTCTGGTGCCCTCTTCTGGCCTGCAGGAATACACACAGACAGAATATTGTGTACATAATAAATAAATAAATATTTAAAAAAAAAAAACCTGTGCAGGCTACTACAACTTTCATGGGACTGCAGTGGGGCTCTTGGGTTAAAGTCAGGGCCTTTCACATGCTAACAATGACTACCTCCCCTGTGTCCCCCACAAACCTTAGGAAATGTGGACCCTTTATTCAGATTGGCCCTCCTCCTAATTCTAAGTTATTTTAAGGGGCTGAGGGTGTAGCTTGGCAGAAGAGCACTGTCCTGTGTTTCCAACAAGGTTTGTAGAGTGTTCAGATGTTTTTGTGCATGTATGAACGTGGGTCCACATGGGTGAAGGTCAGGGGACCCCTTGGGTGTTGCTCCTCACCTTCTACTCTGAGACGGGGTCTGCGTTGCTTTTCCAATGTAAGGCAATCTGGCTGGACCACAGCTTCCAGAGATTTTCCTGTCTCTGCTTCCTTCTCCTTGTGAGGGCACTGGCATCATAGCTACACAGAGTCTGACTTCAGTGTGGGTGCTGGAGATTTGAACTAGGAGCCTTACGCATGCACAGCAAACTCTTCCACCCACTGAGGCATCTCCCCAGTCACTTAAAAAAAAAAGTTAACATTGCATACAAAGTGATTGTGGGGATCTCTGGCCTGCATGTTGAGGCCAGAGGACAACGTTCAGGAGTCTTTTCTCTCCTACCATGGAATCCAGATCATCAGGTTTGGACATGCTCCTTACTTACTGAGCCACCTCAAAGGCCCAGTAATGGATTTTACAGTGATATTTCATGCATCACATATTCTAATTTGTCCCTCGGCACTTAAGTCTCATCTGAAAAAAACACTTTTTACTATTTTACAGAAACATTTAATTATTGTATATGCACTTGTCAATCATTCATGTGGGATTAGGGGCTTGAACTCGGGTCATCACGCTTGCTGACAAGAGCCTTTTCCTGCAGAGCTCTCTCACCGGCCCCAAAAGACTTTCTTTCAAAAATTACCTCACCGGGCAGTGGTGGCGCACACCTTTAATCCCAGCACTCAAAGAGTCAGAGGCAGGAGGATCTCCGTGAGTTCGAGGGCAGCCTGGTCAACAGAGTGAGCTCTAAGACAGCCAGAGCTACACAGAGAAACCATGTCTCGAAAAACAAAAGCATAAACAAAACAAAAAATATTTACCCCATGCATGAATGTCATAATGAAACCCATTACTTTGTCTGCTAACTTAAAAGTCGATACTGTGTGAGTTGGAGAAATGGCCTAGTAGCAAAGGGCATTGGCGGCTCTTACAGAGAACCCAGGTTTGATTTCCAGCACTCGCACAATGGCTCACAAGTATCTGTCACTCGGGTTCCAGGGGAATCTGACACCATTTTCTGACTTGTATGGGCACCAGGCACACACATAGTATGTAGGAAAAACAATTATATACATAGGTTTCTATGTAGCTTTGGAGCCTGTCCTGGAACTAGCTCGTCTAGACCAGGCTGGCCTCGAACTCACAGAGATCTGCCTGCCTCTACCTCCCGAGTGCTGGGATTAAAAGCATGTACTACCGCCGCCCGGCCCTAAAACATTTTTATATTGTGACAGAGACTAGTCTTTTCAAACTGCTCTAAAACTCCAAAGAAAGGACTCCAGACTAAGCAGGGAAGGCCTGGCCACCCATTCCTGGTCGCTGCTTTCTTTCCCGGTCCATGCTGGGAAACATTAATTAGCCTGTTTTACATTAGAACTTATTCCTGTTTCTGCTGCTTTAGCAAGGTGTTGGCAGAGACTGCTCGTGTGTTTCCCCGGCCACCAAGACCCAAAATAGTGACACAGAAACTGTATTAATTAAATCACTGCTTGGCCTAGTGGCTTGTGCATAGTTCTAGCTAGCTCTTACATCTTAAATTAACCCATTTCTATTAATCTGTGCATCATCACGCGGTCACGGCCTACCAGCAAGTTTCCAACATCTGTCTCCTCCAGCACCTCCCTGACTCCGCCCACTCTCTTCTCCTCTCTCTGCTTGGAATTCTCACCTTGCTCTACTCTGCACTGCAATAGGCCCAAAGCAGATTCTTTATTAACCAATGGTATTCACAGCATACAGAGGGGAATCCCACATCAGAAAGGGGGTGCAGATACCCCTGGTTCAGGTGGGCAGGTCCAGGGCCTGGGTCCTATGCCACAATGTCCAGACACTGAGACACCCAATTTCTCTTTGGGACAGATGAGGTGGCTTCTTGATTTGGAGAAGGGGTAGGGGTGGGTGGGAAGAATTTCTAAGCATTCCTTCTAGACTGCCAAGTATCCACCAGCTAGGGCGATCATTATCTTTCCGACCCTATGCTGTGGCCTTTCCTTTCCCTCTCAGTTCATTTAGCTCTGTTTGGCCTTTCTGGGGGTTGGGAGGCTTTATGCTACCATTTCTGGCTAGAGTTTTGGGTTTTGTTTTTCAAAAAGGCTAGGCATTGTGGCACGTGCTATAACCTAAGCTCTTGGGAGGCCAAGGCAGGGGTATTGGTTCAAAACTACCTCAAGGCCAGTGTGAGTTAGATGAAACCAAAATACCACAAACTATGAAAACAAAATAAAATCTAGACTGACAGACAGGATGTTAGAGACCAATTCTGTAAAGCAGATGTCTGTAGTCATATTCTGCAGTCATTGAGGAGATGGGAAAGTCTAAGAGTTCAAGTACAGCCTACTCTAAGCAATTCACAGTGTGATTACAAAGCAGTTTAATGATTACTGATATCACAAAATGATCAGAGCATCTGTCCACATAGAAGTACCACTTGCCATTAAAATATGCTTCATTTACATATAATATACAATTTAGGGAGCTATGCAAGGGTGAAATTAAGATGAGGGTAGCAGGAAGTCGGAAGGGAAAAAGTGACAGCCTCATTCCCTAACTGTCTAAAGGCTGAGAGTTCCCAAACAGAGGGGCAAGTTAAGATGGGAGAAGGGAGGTCAGGCCAGGTCACAATGGTCAGGGACCTTTTCTCCCCAAACAATCCATTATTCCTAACCTGCTCCCCACCCAGGCTGGATTTGATTCATCTGTCTCAGGCAGAGATTAGCCTGCAGCTGCAGTGTGCGGGTGTGACCTAGGCAGCTGAGGCACTGGACTATATTCCTGAACGTAATGCGAAGATCCAGCACCTTGGATACTGGGATACATATCCCCTTGGATATAGTTGGGATTTTCCATTCTGTCAAGTATTTTACATCTTTGTTGAAAGAAAGAAGGCAGTGGCAGCTGCCTGTCTCAGAAGACAAGACAAGCCAGCACTTACTTCTCTAAGCTCAAGGAAGGCTCTGCTGTAGGCAGAAGCCATATCAGGTAGCTTCTGGCTATCAGAGTGGGGGCAGCACAGAGCCTCGGCCTCCCACCAGGGGAGTCACTGAGCAAGGAGAAGGCCAACACAGGCTGGCCTAACTGACTTTTGTAAATGGCTTAGCAGCAGAAGGTGGTACCATGAAAACTGTGGGTTCTTTTGTTTTTGATTGGTTAAAAATTAAAAAAAGTGTCTTGTATAGACCAGGCTGGCCTTGGACTCTGCCATCCTCCTGCCTCGTCTCCCAGATGCTAGGATTATAGGTGTATGTCACCACACCTAGCCCAGTATGGTGATTTCAAACTCATTCAAATCTGCTCAATTTCCCCTGGTTCTGCTATTTAAAAAAAAGGGGGGGGGGTGAGGAGTAGAGAGGCTAGAGAAAGGGAGAAGAAGACTGAAGGGTGGACAGGAAAAGGAGAGGGGGGGAGAGGGGAAAGGGGGAGACAAACGAGCTGCAGGCAGTACTCATTCCCAGGAAATTATATTGTGACCAATCAGAGGACTCTGTACGTGGAGAAATTATATTGTGACCAATCAGAGGACTCTGTGCGTGGAGAAATTATATTGTGACCAATCAGAGGACTCTGTGCGTGGAGAAATTATATTGTGACCAATCAGAGGACTCTGTGCGTGGAGAAATTATATTGTGACCAATCAGAGGACTCTGTGCGTGGAGACGGGGATGATAACCCTGCTCACTGTGAGGGATGGCAAGAGAGGTTTGGGGAACATTTTACTTGCTAGCGCCCGGGACCTGCTTTCCTGCTTAGCCTCCCGGAGGAAATGTTTGGGAGTGTTCCTGGGAGGTTTGGATTCCTTGCCTTTGAGTCTGCTTCTGTAGCTTGGCATTCCTTGTTTTTGCAAAACCTGCAAGGTGGCAAGATAGCGGATGTCGTCGGGGTTGGATGGATACGTAGAGCTCTTCTGGGGCAGGAGGGACCAGCGCAAGCAGCACCTCTGGGACTCTGCCGCCAGCAGGTGTGTCGGGACCATAGGTGGCGGGAAAGGCAGTTGCTCGGTGACCTTCAGGTGGCTGGCCAGCTCAAAGTGTCTCTTTTCTCCTTTCCCATCGACTGTTTTCAACCTATCTGGACAAGCCACGCACTCATCCTTTTCTCCCTTTTGTGCCTTCTCTTCCGGCTGCCAGAAAATGTTCCTGTCCTTCTTACTCAGGACATCCAAGCTGTTGGCGGGACAGCTTTTCAGTGGGGGCAGAACCATGAGGGTCTTGGATGCGAGGGAGTCGGAGGCGGAGAGGCCCCGGGCAGTGCTTCCGCAGGGGTTTCTGCAGGTCTTGCTGCTAACTGTCTCAGGAATGGCCCACTCTTCCATGCACCAGATAAATTCCTTGATTTGCAGGCTTTTTTTTTCTCCATGCAAGTATGTGGGAAAGCAGAGTTTGGTGGGCTCTCTGGAATCAGTGCTGGGGCCCTGGGAGGGGCTGCTGCAGTTCTTCTCAGGGCTCCAGTTCTTCTCGGGGCTCACCTCAGCCACAGCACTGGCCTCCAGTTTCCCAACCTCTGAGAGGGAACAAGCCTCCAGACTCCCTTGGGAAAGACTCATACAGAATAAGCAGTCGCTGCCGCCACCAGTGCCTTCTCCTACCCTCCCCTTTTTCACTTTCTTCTTTGACCAGATGCAGGCGGTTGGTGAGGTTCTTCCCCAGCCGCGGACCTGCAAAGAAAACAGCATGTTACCCTCTCGCCAGCTGTGCCAGGGCCTTGCCTCCCCCATCTGGGCTACACCCCTGTTCTCACAGTCTTATTTGAGCCACATTTTTTTTTCTTAAAACTGATTTATCTTAAATACACATACAGAAAACAGACAGACAGACATATTACCATGGAGACTAGCTGGCCATAAACTCACAATACTCCTGCCCTCTGCTTCTGAAAAGCAAACAAAACTCCCAGCCTTTACTATTTCAGCCTCACGCGAACAGTGCTATTACAGCCATGGATGCTAATCTCAACTGCTAGCCAGGAGTGGTTGTTTCTGAAGCCTGGGCAGTGGCATCTGTACAAAGCCATGGGACTAGCTATGGCTCCCTTCAGACACAATTCAGCTTAGCACCGTGGACCCACGCTGCCATTCCCGTCCAAGGATTCCTTGAACTGTCAATCAGTTTCCCGAACGCCAGGAAGATGGCTCAGAAAGGCTGGAGGGCTGGCGAGGAACAGACACAGTCCTGGGAACCCAAGATTCCTGAGCGCCCAAGGTACAGCTAATGCCTCCCGACCCCTGGAGCCCCTGGCTGCAGCTGTCATCTAAAAATAAAGGACTGTATCTGTGATGAACATAATGCTAAGTAGTTAGGAATCGCTTACCTGAAACTCAAATGGGGCAACCTGTATTGTTGGTTGTATAACCTGGGAACCCGGCATTTAATCTTGGATTTGACCAAGTTTCCTTATTATTTACAATTTTTTATTTGGAGAGAAACAGAGATAGGGAGAATGGAATGTGTGTGAGTTCACACAGGCATGTATGATCTATGTATGAATGAGCATGAAGGTCAAAGGCAATGTGGAGTTGGTTCTCTCCTTCCACCTTACTGTGGATTCCAGGGATCGAACTCAGGTCTCCAGACTTGCACTGCAGCTGCCTCTACCTGCTGAGCCGTCTTGTCAACTAAGCTCAGCCAACTAAGTCACCAGGCCCCATATTCTTCATGATTGTGCTACCCAGGCACCTGCCTTACAGTTTCAAATGTCGGCTTCCACCACTGGCTCAGAGAAGGCCCAGGACTCTGGAGAGCAGAGAGGATACAGCCTACGGGTCTCTCAGGTGCTGAGCACGGGGCTGGAAATATTCCAGCCTTCTTTGTCCAGTTACTGGTCAAGTGATCTCTGTGATACCACATTTTACCTACTGGGTGCTTCGGCACCCTCCTTCACAGAGTAAGCCCCAGATGGCTACAGAGGTGTTGAAAGAAGAGCTAAATGCTGACTTGTCCGTGGAGAGCTGTCCCATCTGTGCACAGGAGTGCACACGGCTGTCACTCTATTTCACTTCTGACCCAAGGCTCCTATATTCACGCCGACATTTTTTGGTAACATAAACTACTTTGGAAAAAGACCTGTAGTAAAGACCTAAGTGAGAAAGACCCAAGAAGACACTTACGGCTTCTTCCCACCCAGTGCCGATGGCAAACTCGTTGGCCCGCTCATCCTCTTCCAACGTGAGGTCGCTGACACTGAGAAGACAGCAGACGTGATTCCTTTCGTTTCTCTCATCTGGACAACTTAAAGTCTGCGTGGTTTCCTCTGCGCCTTGAATTTTCTTATGTTCGTCATTTTCTGCAACAGTCTCACTTTCCTGGCAGAGATCCATTGCTGGGGTGACTGCTTATAGTTTTTAACATGTTCTTCCTGCAACGTCCAATTCAACTTGGTTTTAATATTGATTTTTTTTTAAATCAGGTATCTCAAGTGAAATATTTTAATATATTCAAGAAGATCGAGAATAAATCTTTCAAAATGACCCGTTTCCAACTGCTGTCAGAAAAGATAAGGCTAATTTTAATAAAAACTAATGTCTCTCTCTTTTTTTTAAACTTTTGTGTGGGTGGGTAGGGGGTGGTGGGAGGACATGCCACGGCGCTCTAATGGAAGTCAGAGGATAACGGTTCTGTCTTTTCTTTTCTTTCTTCCTTTTCTTTCTTTCTTTCTTTCTTTCTTTCTTTCTTTCTTTCTTTCTTTCTTTCTTTCTTTCATTCACACACAGTGGCTCTAGAATCATCAGGCTTGTGAGGTAAGTGTGCTGACCTGTTAAGTCATCTGCCAGCCCACGACTGATGAATTTAATAAAGACCAAAGAAATGAAGACACCTGGAAGACACTAGCATCGGCTCTACCTCTGGTTGCTGTGACAGAGCTCACAAGGGATGCGGGTCTACACATGACATTGCTAACATCAAAAGAATAGTGGGGACTCACAGACTCCCAGGATTCACCTGTTCCCAGAGTCCTCAGAGTTGGCTGAGGTCCACAAGCTTCTGAGGAGCCCAAGACGCTTTCCCACAGTGGGTAAGCGGACTCTTATTTCTCCATATTTCTGCCAACGCTTGCTGCTTTGTTTTGTTTAAGGAAAGCAGAGTGGGAAAGAGAGTGAAGGTGATCAGCCAGTTTCCTAGGCTCTCTCTGCCCAGCCACATCACTTCCTGTCTCCACCTCCCTAGTACTGTGATTGGGTGCGAGCCACCATCTTTTGGCTCTGTTTCTCTTTTTGACTGATTCAATCTCGCGTAGGCCAGGGTGGCTTTGAACCCACAGAGATCCGTCTGTCTCTGTCTCCTGAGTGCTGGGATTAAAGGGGTGTGCCACCACTGCCAGGCCTCTATGGCTAACTAGTGTGGCTAGCTCCGAACTATGATCTTCATGCAAGCTTTATTTGTTAAAGCCCAAACAAAATATCAGCGCATATTAGCACTGTGCCTGCATGTGCTTATGTATTCTTGGTGTGTGCCTAATGCTGGGGAGGCCAGAAGAGAGCACTGGACCCCCTGGAACTACAGTTCTGGACAACTGAGCTTCCATGTAGGGCTGGGAATCGAACCTGGGTTCTCTGCAAAACACAAGTGCTCTTAACCACACAGCCGCCTCTCCAACTCCTCTAATGTCTTTTAGGAACAGAGTTGGCCTTAAACTTGAAGCAAACCTCCTGTTTCTGCTTCTGTGTGGTTCCTCACAAATTATATGCAGATTTCCTCTAAAATGCAGAACTTTGTATAGATATATTTTCATTTTTAATTTTTTTAATGTGTATGGGTATTTTGCCAGCATGTATGTGTACAGCATGTATGCTTGCCTTGTGTGCTAGGAGACCAGAGGAGAGCACTGGATCCCCTGGGCTGGAATTATAGACAATTGTTGGCTACCATGGAGGTGTTGGGTATTAAACCCTGGATCCTCGTAAGAACAGCCAGTGAGTGCTTTTAACCCACTTAGCCATCTTTCTAGCCCATATTTTCCATTTTTTAAGTCATTTTTTGTTTTGTTTTATTTTTGTTTTCGAGCCAGGGATTCTCTGTGTAACAGTCCTAGGTGTCCTGGAACTTGCTCTGTAGACCAGGCTAGCCTCAAATTCAGCTGCCTTCCGAGCGCTGGGATTAAAGGCGTGTGCTGCCACCACCCGGCCACCACCCAACTTTTCACTCACTTTTTTATAGACAGCTTCATGTACCACAGACTAGCTCATGTAGTAAATCCATGAATCGCTGACCCTTCTGCCTCAACCTCCACAGTGCTCTGATCAGAAGCCCATCAGGTGTCCTGCTCACCTGCCTTGCTCCCCTGAGACAGTCTCTCATTGAACCTGGAGCTTATATTTTCAGGCTAGGCTGCCTAGCTAGCAAGCCCGAGTATTTCACCTAGGCTAGGCTTTAAAAGATGGCTCAGGCAGATAGCACTTGCCACACAAGTTTAAGGAACAGAGTTCAGATCCTCAGTACCCACCTAAAAAGTCATGAGTTGTGTGATACATGCCTTTAATTCCAGTGCTGGAAAGGCAGAGTCAGGAGTGGTGTAGGAGGTTCTTCTGTTCATGTGTTGCTTTCATTGGTTAATGAATAAAGAAACTGCCTTGGCCTAGCTGATAGGGGCAGAACTTAGGTAGGTGGAGAAGACAGAACTGAATTCTGGGAGGAAGAAAGCAGAAAGAGAGAAGCCATAGATCTTCCACCAAAGATGGATGCCAGTTAGAATCTCTGGTAAGCCACTTATACAGATTAATGAAGATGGGTTAAACTAATATGTAAGAGTTAGCCAATAAGAGGCTAGAATTAATGGGCCAAGCAGTGATTTAATTAATACAATTTCTGTGTGGTTATTTCAGGTGTAAGCTAGCCAGGCGGCCAGGACAAACAAGGGACCCTCTTCTTGCAACAAAGGAGGATCCTTGGGGGCTTTCTGGATAGTCAACCTAGCCAAAACCTGAGAACTCTGGGTTCAGTGAGAGAACATGTCTCAATAAAAATAAGGTGGGTGATGACTAGAGAAATGGCTCAACAATTAAGAGCATTTGAGACTCTTGCAAAGGACCCAGGCTTGGTTTCTGGCACTGAACCCACAAAAACTGGCAACTTCACTTCCAGCAGACATGACACCATTTTCTGGCTTCCGCGAGCACCTGGCAGGCCCATGGTGCATATACGTTTAACCAAAACACTCATATACATGAAATTAAAATAAATACGTCTTCAAATTATATAGATATTTAAAAAAAAAAGGTAGAGATTGAGGAAGACGCCCAAGTCAACCTCTGGCTCTCTGCACATGTGTACACACTCAAGTACATCCGAACACAAACACACAAAGACACACATGGAGTATGACTGGAGTTCAGGGGTGGAGAACACTTTATAGACTAGGAGGTGCCTATGACTGCATAACAGCCTCTCAGAGTTGTGAGGTTAATCCTGTAATCTAAAGCCTCAAACAAGAAGCACGCATATTTATATTGGCTGGGGCCCATCTGATGTAAACAGCACAACCCTCACCAGTTTGGGGTTTTGCTTTGTTTTTTTTCTTAAATTTATTTTTATTTTATGGACACTGGTTTCTGACATGGACACTGCATGTCTGTCTGTCTGTCTGAGGGTGTCAGATCCCCTGTGACTGGAGTTACAGACAGCTGTGAGCTGCCATGTAGGTGCTGGGAATGGAACCTGAGTCATCCGAAAGAGCAGCCAGTGTTCTTAAGTACTGAGCCATCTGTCGCTCCAAACCCTCTCAATGATTTTTTTTTTTTTAAAGACAGTCTTGCTATAGAGCCCAGAATGTCCTGGAACTTGTTAGCCTCGAATTTATGATCCTCTGGCTTGTGTCTCTGAAGTGCTGGGATTACAGGGGTGCAGGTGTAGGCCAAAACAAATTCAGCTATAGAGTTTTAATAAGTAAATAACCCTAATCAGGGCTAGATACACAGCTCAAGTCAACAAATGCTTGCCTCATATGCATGAGACCTGGGTTTAATCCCCAGCCACCAGGCAAAATGCTAGGTATGATGTCATGCATTTGTATTTCTGACACCGGTGGGGTAGAGATAGGAGGATTCCTGGGGTTTGCTGATCCAACCGGTGAGCCTTGGGACCAGTGAGAAACTCTACGGCAATGAAAATTATTAAAAGTCACTACGTAGCCTGCAGAATCTCCAGAGGAGAAATGGGTTCCAAAGTCAGACTTTGAAACTGTGAAGCTGGGAACCATGCCTAGCCACGTTACTTAGTATGATGTCTTACTCAGAAGTAAGACAGTCGGGACTGGATGGTAACACTGCCACCCCCAGCTCTTACGGCAGGAAAGAATGTTCTTCCACCCCTCTGCAACAGACTGCTTGTTATTCACTCTCGTTGTGCACAATGCAAAGATATTCAATGACAGAACCTAGGTCATATGCCAAAACCCTCACTGTATGGAGGAAGCTGGGGTTTCTGTTCTACCTTGAGGATATACATACATGGGCCAAATGTGTTCAGGACACAGAGATGCTACACCCCTACAGCAGACCTCCAAACACAGCGAACTATCAACTGATTGGCTTATGATTCAGAATGTGACTCTGATGTCCTACAGTTTGTCCTTTTGCCTTAAAACACCTTTAATTTGCCAGGGATGGGGGCACACATCTTTAATCCCAGCATAAGGGAGGTGGAGGCAGAGGCAGGTGAATTTCTGTGAATTTGAGGCCAGCCTGGTCTATACAGTGAAGTCCAGGATAGTCAGGGCTACATAGAAAATCAGAAAAAGTGCTCTACCTGGCTTTGAATCCCACCACCCACATGGCAGCCTACATCCATCTTTAACGCCAGTTCTCGCCCATGAAGGCACAAGGCGCCAACACGGTGTCCAGACATACATGCAACAAAACACCATACACATAAAAAAAATCAAAGAATGAAAATAAAAGAGGACATAGATACAGTTTTGTAAGAGAGCACTTGAACAGCACACACAAAGCACTGGGTTCCACCCCCAGCAAACAGGCATGACGAAGATGTGGGCAGGAGGATTAGACCTTTAGGTCATTCTTAACTAAAAAATTCAGTTAGCCTGAGGTACGTAAGGCCCTATCTTTAAAAAAAAAAAAATAATGTTAATTCCTATCCCAATGATCAACTCCACACGAGCAGAGGCTACCTGAATGTGTTGAGGAGTTTGACACCTGCCCACTGCAAGAAAATGTCGGGTGATCGATTATGTCTGCCCCCAAAGTAAAGTGGCAGTGTGCACGTTAGCCTTTGTCAGGGCAGCCAGACTAGGACTGACAGCTGGAGATCCCTACATTTGACTGACACAGCCCTAATCTATCAGCAAGCACGGAAAGCAGGGTGACTGGCAAGAAACAGAAGCCCAGGTTACTGATGTCAAGGCAGGCTGGTTCCCCAAATCTCCTAAACACCCTGCCACAGCTTCTCATGGCTCTACACCTCATCTTACTAAAAGCTATGGCTTTAAGGGAATCGGGTATTGGGTATCAGGATTCAGAAAGAGTGGAGGTGTGGGGGGACGTGCCTCAACAACTCAGGAGGTTTCCAGCTAGCCTGGGCTACACAGCAAGACTGTCTCAAATAGACAAAACTAAACAAAAATATCTTCCTATGTTAATTAACTGTGACATGTCTATGGGGGACAGCTGCCATAATGAAGCAATCCTGAGTTCTTCCAAATTCAAGTAGGGCGTGTACAACCACCCCTAGAGATCACTTCTATTCCAACCACTTCTATTCCAACCACTTACAACTCTCAACTCTCGCCTTTGTTTGTTTGTTTGTTTGTTTTTGCCCAGGGTCTCGATTTTTTGTTTTGTCAGAGTCTCACTTTGCCCTTTTCCGACTTTCGTTTCTGAATTCACGAGGTGCCTAATCCTGAGAGGATGGCCTCCCGAAGGCTCCCAAAGCTCAAGGCAGACAGAAAGTACAAGGCCGATCCTGGCGCCCAGACCGTCTTATCTGGTTCCTCCCTTCTACTAGTAGTCCCATCACACTCCTTCCTTTCACCCGAAGAGCAGCTTCACTTTATCAGGCCCTTCCCCTTCCTCCCAGCGGCTCCTACAGTGCCAAACATGGCTGGTTTGCCCTAACTTCAGGCAGCTCCTGGGGGCTGCACCAAGCGTCTCCAAGGAACCCTCGACCACGCCCCCAATGACCACGCCCATCAAACGGCTCCTCCCCCGAGGCGCGCGCGGCTTCCAGGCCCCGCCCAATGCAGACTCGCCGTCCCTCTTCTTCGTCTAACTTACCCGCCCGGAGGGTTGCTTCCATCCTCGGTTCTGCCACCCGCCTACCAAGTGTCCTGGGAACTCTTCCCCGGGGCGGGGACGTGGCCACGTCCACTCAGACTCTTTAACGGGACCGCGAGGGAAGGAAGGCCCAGAGCGGATCGTCCCCAGCGGGCAGGCGAGAGCGGGGCCGTTGCCCCGGGTTACGACCGCGTCGGGGGCGGGCCGGGAGAGGGGCAGCTTGGCGGAAGTGACGTCAGCTTCAACAAAGCGGCTCCAGGGAGGTGATTCTCTGAGGGCGGGGTTAGGGAGCGGTCCCTCCGTGTTGCGCGCGCGGCCTTCAGCGGCCCGTGGGGTAGCGTAGGGCGCCTGGCCAGCGGCGCCTTCGCGTCGTGACATCTCTGCTGGGGAACTGCGGCCCGCGTGCTTCGAGGGTTTGGCACTGTCGACGTTGGGCAGCCCAGTTGCGTCGTCTTCAAGACGGGACGCGTCAGAGGCCAGGCAAACAGTATCTGCAGATTTGGCACTTGTCCCTTCGCGCAGAATTGTCCCTTCCTTCTTGAGATTCCGCTAGTGCTAGTGGAACTCATGCCCAGAACTTCATGAAGAAGACTCCTTTTCTATTTGTGTACTGTGTAGCATGGTGCGGCCTCACAGTCTTGGCGACCCTCCTTCAAAATCTCCGAAATCAACCAGAAGAGGATTTAAGGACCTGCCTTTCACGTCGGTTTAGTTCTTTTCGGTCCGCCCACTTTTCTGGGACAGTAGCAGCGAGCGCTCGCTGAACTTTTGACCACCTGTCAGCAGCGCTGCTCTTGTTGCCTCTGAGCACTGAAAGACAAACCCCAGGCTGGGAACCTATGCCTGAAGTGAAGCATTGAATGGTAAGTCTAGCCCCCCAACTCAGGTCTAGTTCCAGGGCCCCTCTGCTTTCTGGTTTAAAAAGTATTCCTACAGGAGGACAGGAAAGCACTGTGACTCAAGGGAAGTTGGAAAAATAGCTACGAAGGACAACTTTTTACAGCATTAAAGGTAAAGACGTGATTGATGTATGTGGTACATTATTCAATGAGGTTGGAGCAGAGTCCTCTTGTAGAATATGACTACTTGTTAAGACATTTCCATATATATATACACATATACATATCTACATATATATGTATACACACATATTGCTATCCCAATACATTTCATAACAGAAGTAATGGGATGATGCGTTTTTAAAATGTTTATATGTATACTTAGATTTATTGATGATGTTTTTGCTTGTGGATATGCATGTGCCAGGCAGTAATAAAGTCATGCTTAAAGTTAGCTATTGTTTCCCAACACTCATGAGCAAACGCAGGGCTTCACATCTATCACCAAGACGTGTCTCCGTTCTATGTTGCCTATTCTGGCCTCCAAGTCCGTATCTTCCCTCTGTCCCTGAGTACTGGAATTACAAGCATGTGCCACCAGACCTTGCCACTCAACCATAATTTTTACACCCGAAGGTGGATGCTTTTAAATATTACAGAAAAGCCCAGAAATTTGGAAAACAAACAGAACAAAACTTGCAATCTGCTGAACTAAGGTCTGAAGCACTTGTCTTTTATACTGGAGTCTGTGCCAAGCGCCCTCTAGTGGTTTCACTAAAACCCAGTACGGTCAACCTTAGAACTACCTTCAAGGTGGTTTTTGTGGGGTTTTGTTGTTGCTTTGGTTTGTTGCTTCTTTTTGTTTTGACTGCACGTGTATCGGTGCACCACTTCTATGCCCGGTGTCTATAGAGGCCAGAAGAGGAACTGGATCCTCTGGAACTGGAGTTTCCAGTGTTCGTGAGCCTCCATGTAGGTTCTGGAACTTGAACCCAAGTGTTTTGGAAGAGCAGACAGATCTTTTATGCACTGAATCATCTTTCTAACCCCTATTATATTTCTGAAATTTTAAATCTTTGAAAAAATTCTTCAAAAAATGACAAAGAATAAAAAAAAAACAAGACAAAGGAAGAAAAAGAAAGTAAGCTTGAAGCCGTGCCAGGTGTAGTGGTGCTTGCCTGGGATCAGCACTTGGGAGAGGAAAGCAGGAGACCTGGGGCTCAAGGTTGTTGGCTGTTAAAGCCAACTAGGGTGGCAGGCGTGCTTTCCCTGCTAAACATAAGCATTGTCCCTGGAGACCTAGACTATTTTGGTGGCTGGAATCCCTTGAGGCACAGAAAGGGCCTGCCAGGTCCTGCTCCCACCTCCAGGCTTCCATAATTAAGGTTTCTAGCCCCTCAGGGTGGGAGAATGGCCAGGCCCTGCCCTACAGGAAAAAAATCCCATCCATCCCTGAACCTGCCCCAAAATCAAGCAACATAATCCTTCCAATCCCAGGCCACCCTGGAAGCTGTGTGTGTCTGTCCTCAGGCCCCCACCCCCCACCTAGTTATATATAAATCTGTTCTGCCCAGTTCTCTGCTGCTTCTTCCCCAGCAGAAAGCAGCCATCTTCCTGGGGTTTTCATTCCCGATAAATCTTGTGTGAGGTTTGTTGTATGGTGTGACTTTGTGGTACCCTTGGCTCCCAACTGCCAGGATACCCTCTCTCAGAGCTGTAACACTTATAAAGATGGGCTTTAGTTAAATCCTCCATACCAGCCTGGGCTACATGAGAGTCTGTCTCAAAAATACACTACAAACCAGGAGGTGGTGGGCTCACACCTTTAATCCCAGCACTCAGGAGGCAGAGGCAGATGGATCTCTGTGAGTTTGAGAACAGCCTGGTCTATGGAGTGAGTTCTGACAGCCAGGACTACACAGAGAAACCCTGTCACAACAAACCAAACCAAGGAAAGAAAGAGAGAAAAAAGAGGGATGGAGGGAGAGAGAGAACTACTACAACAACAATTTTAAAAAACCAACAAAAACTCACAAGAACAAAACAAAAACCACCACCAAACATCAAAGTCAAGCATGGTGGCTCACACCTGTAATCCCAGCACTACAGAGGATGAGGCAAGAGGATTGCGATGAATTCAAGACCAGCCTGGGCTATAGGATGAGATCTTGTATCAGACAAAGCATTCAAGAAAAAGAAAATTCCACTGGCAAACTATGTTTAAGAGGGCTGGGAATACGGCTTTGTGGTTAGAGTGCTTGCTTGCTGTGCATGAGCCAAAAGGAAAACAGAAAAGGCAGTATTCTTTTGTATCACCGAAATGGTAACAGAATTGAGTGTATATTCCAGATAGTTGAAAAAGCAAGTTAGCATATGTTCTGCTCATTCTGTGTGTGTGTGTATGAGAGAGAGAGAGCGCTATGCACGTGCCTGGAAGATAGAGGTGTCTTTTGCCCTATTTTACTGAGATAAGGTTTCTCAGAACCTAGAGCCCCTCCTGTCTCCCTACAGCCACATTTGGCATTTCAGGTGGGTGCCAGAATCTGAACCCAGGTCCTCCTGCTCTCACAGCCAGAGCTCTCTCCACCGAGCCGTCCCCCAGCCTGATTTCAAACTCCTTTTTTACTACACATGAATTCTGACTCGCACATACATGATGTCACGTAGGAATTTTCCACTCATCCTCTTTTCAAGCATAAGATTTCAAAGCTTTTAAAACTGTGTGTGTTCAGATTAGACCAGGAAAGGTGAGAATCCTGCCTGTGACCAGTCTGTGTTCAATGCCTTTTCCACATCAGTGGGGTATAGTAATAGATAGTTGGTTAGAAAGATCAACAAACACGTAATTACCACCTAGTTCCCAAGCAGTAAGGTTAATTAGCCTGACTGTCAAGTACACAACAGTCAGCCATGACACCTCCGTGTTTTTTGGCGAGGATGCCAAGATAACCTTGGTGACAGTTGTTTGTCATCAGCAGTGTCTCCCGCGTGCTCTGCTCTTGAGGAAACTGCTCCTTTGCCACTCGCTGGCCACCAGGTGTGTCTGAGTCTGTCCCTCTTCTGGAGTCCGAGGAACACGAAGGAACAGCCTACCTACTTCTCCTTTGTTTGTTGGTTGGTGGTGAAGTTTGTGTAAGTCTTTGTGAGCTTGTCTGGGCCCAGGCTGACCATGGATCTGTAGCCAAAAGATGACCTTAAACTGCTGGTCCTCTTGCCTCCACCTCCCGAATGCTGGGATTATAGGCTTGAGCCCCCAAGTTTAGCTATACACATTTGTGTGCATATAGCCACCCCCAGTGAGTGTTTTTATAATTGACTACGTTAGAGAATATGCCGTATTAGCCGTCTGGATATACCATTTGGCAGTAAGTACAGTTGGCTGTAAAGGACAGTTATTAAGGCCGTATCAGAAAGTTCCAGTGTCTGCTTATCCCTATTGGATGGAAACCTGGGCATGACTTAAATTTGGTCACAGTATGTGCAATGCTGACAATCTGTCACCATCTTCCCTCCTCTGAGCTAGCGTGATGAGAAATGAAGATGGTAACTTCATCTCCTATTACTGCAAATAAATTAATTTGCTTTTGGGGAAAACAAGGGTTAGTGCACACTAGGACAATGGGTGAACCTCGACCTGGGAAAATCCACCTTCCTGGTCAGTCTGCCCTGGCAGGTAAGCACGAGTGAGTTCTTTCCAATCACAGCAGATTGCCAGTGCTAAGACATTCTGGCCAGCACAGCTCGACCCGCGTTCCTCATGCCTTTCATTGTTAAGGCGTATGTTTCTTTTTCATTTTAGATTTGTGTGTTCTCTGTCGGGATGTATGTATGCACACCTTGGTGTGCCTGCTCAGAAGGCATCAGATCCCCTGGAACTGGAGTTAGGGACAGTTGTGAGCTACCATGTGGGTGCCGGGAACTGAACCCAGGTCCTCTGCAAGAACGGCAACTGTTCTTAACCAGTGAACCCTCTATCCGGGCCCTGGCTGTAGAGTGAATTCTAATTGGTCTTAATAATAAAAACCCAGAGTCAGATATTAGTGTGTGAAAGCTGAAAGATCAGAGAAGCAGAGTAACCAGCCACTAGTTCTTACTTCTACAAAATTCTCAGACCAAAAAGGGCTGTGAGCTTCTGTCTCCTCCCGCATTATATTCTTCCCTGTACCCAGCCACATCACTCCTGTCCCCACCACCCTAGTGCTGGGATTAAAGGTGTGAGATCCCAAGTGCTGGGAACAAAGGTGTGTGGTCTCCATGGTTAACTAGTGTCTAGCTGCATACTCTGACCTCCAGACAAACTTTACTTGTTAGAGCACAAACAAAATATCAGCATACCTGGCTTAATTTTTTTTTA